TCTCATGACGTTGCTGTCTTCTAGGGAGATAAAGCTGTAACACTAAAGGAATGACAAAGCTTATTTCAGATTGGTTAAGTAGTATTATTTCTTCAGTGCCAGTTGTAGCTCTCAATACCACAACACCACTTGCTTAGGTCTAAGGAGGAAAGCAAAAGCACAGGTGTGAGGAAGCTCACATTGTACAACTGTGTTATCTGCAATGCAGACAAGTGATTTATGATTGCATGTTTCATGTAGCAGGAATGATATTGCCAGAGGTAAGAACAAGGAGGAAAATTCAGACTCCCTTCAGGGTGACAGACATCTCAAAAATAAAGAGGATCCTTTTTCGGTTTTCTGGCAAGTCTCATCAGGAGAGTCCTAGAGCAAAGAGGAAAATGTGACGTTCCCTTTGCAGGCACTACAACTGCCTCAGAATAACCAGTATTCACTCTCTAAGATCCCCTCGATGGGCAACTGGGAAAACTGGTGCTGTAACAGTTAACTGTAACAACACTGTATTCCCCTTCTCCACACACCTTGCTCATCTCAGGTTGTGCAATTCCATATTAATATAGACATTAGTTTCATGGACAGCTCTGACCACTTCTCCTTTTGCTTTATAGAAAGAAATTACAAGCTCTGTAATCAGTAAAATTACTGAAATTGGGCATCCTGGAGCTTTCCACTCCCTTCCAAAGAATGGAAAGCCCTAGGTCCTAGTGCAGGTATTGGGGAAAACCTGAAGTTGTTCTGCTTCTCATGGACTGGACAGGGATCAAGGGGAGTGAGGAGATTCCTGTAGTGCTGCTAGGTTGGCAGGAGCGCCTTAATACTAACCTGAAGTTGGCTGAATGACATAAACTTGAAGCAGAGTAAATTTTTGATGTTTTAGATGACCGTAATTATTATTTGAAGTGCAACGCCAACTAAAAGCAGTCATGATTAATGCTGTATCACAGACACCTTGCACAGGCATACAAGCTCTGAGCCTTGAAGCAGTTGCATCTGGTCTGATCTAAATCATTCATAACAATATATAAAAGTTGAAACCTTGAATAAGGATTGAATAAGGATCGAACCCTTGAACTAACCATTCCATTCCTTCTCTATTTTCAAACTAGTTCATACTTTGGGTTGTTTGTTGGGTTTTTTTCCCCTTTTTGGCAATTTAAATCAATTTTATTTATTTTTCAACTCTGCTGTCCTGTGCTGCCTTTGAAAAGTGTTCACTTGTTCCATTCCTTCCCCCTTAGATATTTAAGGAAGTTGTGCAAGGAAAACCAACACCAGACCAGGTGCTTGGCCTGGATTTGGGGACCTTGGGCATGCCCTGGTGCAGTGTCTGCAGCCACTAAATGACATGTGGTGAGGGAACCTGCACCTCCTGGATGGCACCTGGATGGTTTCAGTCTGTTATTATGATTAAAGGATAAATAATATTAAATGTTTCCTTAATAGGAGAAAATGCACAGCATTGACAGTAGTGATTAAGTTCTATTAAACAGTTGTTAGTTTGGACACCGGGTGATTAGTACATTCAAACCACTTCATTTCCAGACTTTGGCACCTTGGTCACTACTAACTCAAACCATAAAGTTCAGTGAATCAAGTTGTAAATAGTTTTATTGGTCCCATGTCGGGGAAAAAAAATTGAGGGTTGCGAAGTTCCTGGATGATTTCAAGTTACGCATTTCTCAAGTCCTTGTCCTTCTGTTTTCTGTTCTTTAGTTATTCATCACTGCAAAAAGTTTAAACTCTGTTTCTGCCTTTGCGAACACTTAATGTGTTAACTGAGAGCAAAGAGTTCTATTCCCAGAATAAAATAAGCCAAATGGAGAGAGCTGGAGTTTTGCACTAAGATTCACACTGCTGCCAAAATGCCATAGTTATCCAAGGGAGGAATTTCCTCCAAGGACATGACTGGAACTGCTCTTACAGCCCCTGGAGAAAGGTCCATAGCTACACACATGCTGCTGACTGTTGGATAAAACACAGAACCTTATGTTTCTGTTGGTTTGTATTTGGTTTTCTGAAAAATAATTGTCAACTTTTTGAGAATTAATTATTTTGTGTTCATTTTATGAGAAGTTGTCCTTCAAAGTAGATTTTATTTATTTATTTTTATTATTAATGAAAGTTTAGGAATTAATTGGTAATACCTGGACATATTTCATATGTCAGTGCTATACAACAAAACTTCCTTAAAGTTCATTTTAATACCTTTTAAGTGACTGGGAGCAAATTTTTAGTTTCTAAAAATTTGAGGATTAGAAAGATGTGCTGGCTTTATCCTGGTTTGGCTTTCAAATTGCCATGTGTCCTGTTAAGTCTGTTTATGATTCCAGTGCCCCTTGCATCACTTACGTGCCACTTTACAAATTGCTGCCGAGGTGTTTATGATGAAGTGCCTTTCCCAAGTGGAAGCGGATTTTCATTAGCCTGCTTAAAACTCATCTGGTTTTACGGTGTGGTCATAGAAATGTGTATGTTTACTGGGGTAAGTCCTTCATATTCTCTTTGGTGTACATGTATGTGCCTGTAGAAGTTGTGTGTGTGCTCGTGTGCCAGGGCAAGGCAAGGCAAGACAGCACCATAACTCCAGGGAGAATGGAGGAGGTGACTGCGAGTCACCCACTTACTCACTGGCATATACTGTGGGAAACCTGTATTTTGTGGTTTTGTAGAGCACTTGCTTCTTAGACCAGGCAGGCAAAAAGGCAGACATCCCCTTCTCATTACCAAATTTATCACTCACAACTCCTATGTAAAACAAACTTAGTGTCAACTCCGAAATGAAGAGCTGCATTGGAAATCACACCTAAGGACAGCAGGTGCTGAGCTGGCAGTTTCACAGCAGATTGTGAAATTTGATCACACAATGGGAAATGGAGCCACTCCTTGAGGGCAATATCTGGAAACGTAATGGGGAACCACCCTTCAAAGGTGATCTGGGTAATAATGGGGCTTAGAAACACTTTCTACCTGCTTTGCTTAGAAAATTATGAAAATGTTTAATAGTGTTACTGAGTTTTGCACAAGTACACTATATTTAGCTGTACCTCGACTGGTCCTGAGCTCAGACACACCCAAGGCAATAAACTGCCCAGTACCACCATCACTTCAAGGTGGAAACTAGAAGTGAAATTTTCAGTTCTCTTTATGGTATTCTTATTGTCTCTTCTCTTCTCTTCTCTTCTCTTCTCTTCTCTTCTCTTCTCTTCTCTTCTCTTCTCTTCTCTTCTCT